TATAATTATTATAGTATAATTAATGATTAAACTATTTTGCAAATAAAAAACATTATTATCCCATTATTATAACTTTACTTGGAAAGCGAGGCGCTAAAAACCTATCTGCGGCCCGAAGAAATTTAGCCTATTTAATTTCGGTCCTTACCTACTGCCAAGTTGTGCAGGTCTGTTATAAGGTCAAAAAATGTAGCTTGATGCTTTCAAAACTCTAAAATCATAAAGCTATAAGCAACTAAAAGAATGAAACGTTAAGATAACGCAATCCTAAATTTAATAGCAGACATTAATGCAACACCAGAGCTTAAACACAACTTGATGGTGGCTGGTCTGCCAGAACTTGTGAAGCCTGTTTAACAGATGCAGCTCACTTTGCATTGCTGCTGCTAACGTGATATCTTACATTTGAAGAGGTGAAAATTCTCTAGCATTCCTTCTTTTACTGATAAAAGTATACAAGCTGATAACTGCTTTTAGAAAACGGAAGCACTTATGAGCAATGTGTAACAGCACCGCAGCATGTTTGAAGTGAGTATTCCTATCTCTTGTTGCTGGCACATGCAACCCACTGCTTTTCTGATGCCTTTTTATGAAAGGAGACTGAACAAGGAAAAAATAAGACCAAAATATTTTTAAGACAATCTTTTCAAATTAGCATCCAGTAGTTAAGTATGTGAGTTTCTAAGCTATCCTTTCTGACATCAGCTTCTGTTGCTATAGAAACTACAGCACCCAGCATTCAGGACAGTCTTGAGGTTTGTCATTCATTCCTCTTCCAAAGTCTCTCTAACCAGGGACTCTACGAAGCTTATGCTGGATTATCAAAACAGCTGCTTTCCCAAGGTAATGCTGTGGGAAGTGGATTTTTTTTAAATCAAACTTTTACCTCTGTTTGTGTCCTTACTTCTCATCTCATCTCATTTGGTGGCCCATATTCAGTTCATATGTAAATTCTCATATGACTACCAGAAATTGCATAGAAATACCAAGTCATTCTCATTCACTTGCTGCCAGGACAAGTGCTCATTTGTTAATAATGTCATGGTGTGCTCCCCATAGGGATCAGCTGAGTAAAGATCATTGAGACTGATTTTGCAGACTGGTACCAGCCTGACCAATTAGATCAAGGAGGAAGAAGCTGTTGTTGATCCCATAGTTTTGGGAAGTTTCGGACTTTGAAGGAGAAGGTGCTGCTTTTCAGTAGCAGCACTGACATTGTGGAACAGCCTCCTGGTAGAAATCAAGCCAGCTCCCTCTTTGCTGATGTTCCAGAGGTTATTAAAAACTGAGTTGTTTCAGAAAACTTTCCCTTGATTCTATCATGTCACCTTTAACTTTTATTTTTATTGTTTGTATTCTTATGTTTGGTTAGTGCTGTTTTTATGGTTTTAAGGGTAGCTTGTATCATGGATGTTTTAGTTGGCTTTTATATTCTATCCAAGCTGCCAAAAATCTTTTGATTGCAGCAAGATAAAAATGTGTAAAATAAATAAATAAATCTTTTTAGAAATTATTTTACTGCATTTTTAATTGATAGATTGTAGGCCTTAATTGATAGATTGTGTTCATGCATGCACTGCTTTCTTTTAATTTGCTGTTTTCTCTCTTCTACCTTATAATACACCACCAGAGTCTCATAGTTAGGGTGGTCTATAAATACTATAAATAAAATTAATAAAAGAATTAGTGAACGTATGAAAGAATGAATGAATAACAGGAGAAATAAATTGGAAATTGAAGCATTTCTTTTGACGATATGGCAAAAAAAACAAGTGACTCACACTGCCTTCATACTATTTAGAATATGAACTATGTTAATATTATTATCATTATAGAAATAACAAAAATAATCTGATACTGCGATTTGTGTTCTCTACTTCTCTTGATATCACCATTCCCAACTTTTGAACAACCCCAGAGATTGAAACATACTGAACTGAATAACAGAAGGACTATGGATGAGAACAGTCAGGAAGAAATGCAATTAACCAAGGATTTATTGGGCTGGGAAGAAAGAAATTAACTGTATGAGAATTTTCCATTCCTAACATTGCCATGATTAAATACAGCTCTCCTGCTTATAGCATGTTTGTCTACACTGGAGATTTTAATTTACTATCCTCACTTATCATAACCTTAAAAAAAAGTCCTTGAAGCTCCTATCTCTTGAAAAAGAACTTTCTTAACAGTCAGATTATTTGTTAGAAGGAAAATTATTTGCTATGAAATATAAGATTATTTTGTAGAAACTACTGACTAATTCTTAATGAAAAATGAAATAATGTAAACTTCTTTCAAAAGATGAAAAAGAAAGATCTGATATTAGTAGTGTTCTTACAAAAATAAAAATGAACACAGATTTCTATTTTAAAAACTAATTAAAATGTCTTAGAAACTAAATTAAATATATGACAATATAATGCACCTTTTTTAGGATCTTAAAAATAATTTTAATAAGGAATAGAAAATTTAGAAAATAAAGAAAAGGTTCACCTAAAATATGCAACAATAACAATAATATCCAATATTTAGTGCAGTCAAAGCATACGATGACATAAAACAGCTGGATACACTTACTTATTTACCACCAATATATACTATCTTATTCCAGTATAACTCCCAACTGTTTACAAATTAAACTTAAAATAATGAAGTTGTAAAACATACTCCCTTGATAAAAACAATACCACATTAACAACAAGTACTGGCAGCCAACCTAAACCTAATGATGACAAATACCCTACATTCTGTGAACTTATACTGTTTTTATACCTTACTGAAAGCCCTCAGAGTTGGCACCAACTAAGCCTCTGTGAGCAACTATTCCAAATGAAAGGGACAGCAAAGAAGAAGCACTGCCTTTCTCTATCCCACTAACCACCTGAACGCAAGGGGACCTTGCCAAGGTAAGCTAAGGGGGTGGACCAGTTCTACTTGAAGCAGACATTCCTGGAAGTACCTAAGAGACAAGCCATGTCGGGCTTTATAACAGAGATTCCCAAACTTTCCCAGTTTCCCTTAGCAGTAATTTTCTCATGGCACCCTAGTGGTTCCCAAATGGAATGCCAGGGCATCCTGGGGCAACACAGCAAACTCTAACAGCTCTGTTTATTAAATAGTAAAATATCCTGTGGCAGTCCTGTGAGTTTTCTTGTGGGGCACCAGAACACCATGACACACAGTTTGGGAGCCATGGTGTTATAAGTTAAAAACAATTCTTGGAACTGCACTCAGAAACCTATCCAAAATCTAAATGCAACAACTCCATCCAGAGTAGAATAAGAGCTATACAGTTTTTGGATAGCATCCCAACTTTGCAAGAGTTCAATTTCAACTTATTTCATTCCATCCAGCCCCCTCAAATATTTAAACACAAGGTCAAGTTCTCCAATGCATGTCAGGTTTAGCCAGGTGTGGAATTATATCATCAGCATATTGTTGATACCTCACCCTGAATTAATGGATGACTTCTCCCAATAGTTTCGTGTAGATATTAAAGACCTAAGGAGAGCCAACATCTGTAGCAACCCACTCTCTCCCACCGACTAAATCCCCCACTTAGAAAAAAGTGGAACCACTGCAAAACAGTGCCTGTAACCCTAAAGGAGATCCAGAATGATAAGGAATGTAATTTGAATTTATGCCTCAATCCTCACTTTGATTTTCATGTGGAAACATAATTTTTAATTCATTTGAATGAAAAATCTTTCTCTGTTTTTCCAGAATTCAGCATGACCAACTTATACAAAGATGGGCTATGTTTGCAGTGTAGCAAATATTCTCCATTTCTCACAGCTACCCTTTTAAGGTTGTCCTTAAGGCCGACTAATGGCCTTTGTTATTTTCTAAGACACTATCTTAGAGTTACCAAATTTGAGAGTCAGCTTCACACCTCCTCTAGGAAACAATACATTAAGAATGCATAGAGTTAAGAACAGAACAACACTTTAAGATGGTGTCATAGGAGAAAGAGGATGGAAGAAGCTATTGTAATTTGGTTTCTTACTAATACTTTATGCTACTAGCAGAATATTAATGGTAGTAACGGAATAGAGCAAGCAACAATGACTTGAGTTATCCCCTGTAACTTTTCATACTTTGCCATAAGGTACTGAAACCTTTTCTCTTCTGTCATCACTTAGCGTTTCATCTCCCAGTACATTTTAAGGAATGTGATCTTTTGCATAATGGGAGCCTTTTTCCCATAGCTAATATGTAACAGGTGTTTGGGGCAAATACTATCACCACCAAACATCATCATCATCATCCTTCCACACAAAGATCTCAATCCTAATCAGCTGTAAAAATGCCTGTAATTGAATTTTCAACATTCATACAAGTACTAGTTATATGAATGCTATTATGTCAAGTTTGCCTCTGAAGAATCAAATAATATAAGGTTTGGAGGGTATCTTTGAGATCATCTATTCCAATCCCTCTCCAGTGCAGAAATCCACTATTGTAACATCCTTAACAGTTGGCCATTCATACTCTATTTAAATACCTCAAATGAATGAGAATCCATAACTTCCCAAAGCAATTTGTTTCATTGTTAAATAACTATTACTGTTAGGAATTCGTTCCTTATGTCCAATCAAAATCTCTTTCCTTATAATATAAACCCACTGTTACTTATCTTCTGGAACAACTCTGAACTTCTCCATGACAACACTTCAGAGTAAATATCTATCTATCATCTATATCTCTCTATCTCTCTCTCTATCTCTCTATCTATCTCACTACAGACTTTTTTCCATGCTGAGTATGTCCTGCATCTTCAACAGTCCCTTGTAATTTTTATTTTGAGGCCCCTTTGAGTGTATGATGGGAAAATCTTGGTTACAGAATGGAACAGCTGTGTGTTCTTCCCTTCTCTTCCTGGCACAGCCACTACAGTTACTATGGGGATGCCCCCAAAACTACTGGCAAGCAAGAGCCTGACATCTTACTGGGAATCTTCATGCCACACAAGCAGTAACCCTGAGGAGAAGTTTACATTTGATGTGACCCAAATATATTATTAGAATAGATCAGTAGCCAGTTGCATATAAAAATTTGTGTTTTATTAGAATTAGAGTTTCTAGCCAAACAAGCTGAAGGGGATGTGGGAGTCATGCTAGAATTAACCAAGCCTATAAAACTTAGAAGTGTATTTTAATCATTCTTGTTAATTTCTAAACTAGATTAACACTGACAGAATTAAACAAAAACTCACATACAACTTTCATAAGTCTGAAGAAGATAATAAAGAAAACATACCAGAATATTCAATCTTGTTCATTTTCTCATCTCAATACAAGGCTCTCATTCATATAAAATTTCTACTTTACACTGGGTTGGAAGAAGTCCTGTTACACCTTTCCAACTGCAAAAAAAAAAAAAAACGATTCTGAACTGATTAACTTTAAAATAAGTATAGGTTTCCATAGTATGGGATAGTTTATAGGATCAAGGCCCTTTCAAAAGTTCAACAATCTGAAAGGGACTTTGCTGTTCTGTTCACGACTTTCTCATATTAATAGGTATCTTCTAAAGACAAACTGGAACTATGTTCAGCTGAACATACTTAGAGTGTTCTGTGTAACCAAGGACCTGATTACAGAACAGTTTCTTGCTATGTAGATCATAATATTCAACTGTAAGTATATTCAGCTAGAATAGCTATAATTCCTCTTCATATCTTTATTTTATTTTATTTAAAAGATTTATACAACCGCCCACCTTGTGGCACACAACTCTGACAGGCTAACAACAATACTGTAATAAAACCACAAGCAATAAAAGCAGTACCCCCCTCAAAAAAAAAAATCAAGAAAAACCAGGTGCCTAGTTCATAACTACACTTATTCATCTCTCAACAATCCCCGGGCTCTAACCTTACTCTCCCAGTATGTAGGAAGAAAGCCGTATCTTCCTTATCAATACCAGGTAGACAAGGGTGAAAGGGTGGAAACAACACATGTATTGCTTGGTTGCCTCTTCAGTTATGTTCATTGCCTAAACATCAGCTTGCTAACAAAAGGTTATGACTTCCTGACTGCATGGCTGTGTTTACACAACATACGTAATCTTGGTTATTATCATTTTCTGGATTTATACACTTGACTCAACCATAAATTAACAAATGGCTTAAGTTCATACTAGACTAGGCAACAAAAACAACAAAAATAATGAAGATCTTTAAAAAAAAAAAAACCCTTAACCAAATTTATGCAAATTCAGTATCTGAGTCATACAAGTATTTTCAAATCCATCTTTTTTACATAATATTTTACAGCCAAATGAATTTATCCTCAACTATGAAGTTCACTATGTTACACTGAATCAGTCACTACTTCTTAAATTATCCTTCCTCACAAGGCTGTGATAGATAAAATGAGGTAGGAAAAATCACACAATCTACTAGAAGAAAGGTGTCATATAAAAATAAATCATTTTACTAAAACCTTAAATGTACATTGTATAAAAAGGTACTGTATGGTAATATATAAAAAGATAATATAATATGGTAATTCAAAATCATAGCTACTGACAGTGGATAATGAACATAAAAAGGGAGAAAAAATATGCATTGTGTATCAAGAGGGAATATTATTACCAATATTTGACTTGGAAGAAATAATTAATTTTGGATACTGAAGAGAATTATAAATTCATAAAGACTTCAAAAAGGAGACCTTAAGTTCAAATCATTCTTTCAAATAAGGAGAAATCATATACAGTCAGGTAACAATATTCAGTATTTCAATTTAATATGCTTCAAAGGATTTGTGCAGAACTTCAGTGCTTTGATCTTCATGAAGAGTTGATAATATTTCCCAGGATTCCCCTTCTAGATCTTGTTTTAATGAAACTCATTGGGCATCTAGTAGTCAGAGGAATACTCTAAATTGGAACATTAATAACAATATGCCAAAGGGCAATACAAGAAGACCACTACATTCTATGTGTTCACTCATCACTGCCAATCTTTCTGTACAATGCAATTTAGAAATAAAGTATGCAAAGGGAAATCATAGGCTGAGGATGTTTGTGGCAAGGAAGAGGAAAGTAAGAATTTCAAACAGAAAACAATACACAGGAATAGATAAATTGAAGAGGATTTTCCCAACATATAGCACAAAACAGGACACCCAGTTAAGGCCTAGACTTTGGGGGGGGAGGGAGGGAGGGGGAAGGAATCAACAGAAAAAGAATTTGGAGGAAATCAGTCTTGGTAGTTGTGAAGCAATAATTCTCTTTACCTAAATAACCTGCAGTAGCACTGCATTAGATATAACCCAGTGCTCATTTGCATTAATGGATGATAAATCAAAACCACCAAGATTTGTAATGTGGTGGTGGTGTAGCAAGATAATTACTTTTCTATAAAAATGATGAGAGAAAGCTGTTCTGTTTCTCTTGCCTGTTTTCCAGTGTGTACCTTTTCTCTGTCTGGAGCCTTCCTCATTCCAGCAGGCATGGGGAAAGGTGAAGTTAAACCTACTAAGAGGAACAGGGAGAAAAGTCATATTTCCCTGGCTTCTCAGGCCAGAATATTTAAATATTTGATAATGGGCATTGTCATTATGTTTTAACTTGGCAGCTAACTGCAAATAACTGTTCTTTACAGAATCAGTATACAAAGTCAGACCATATGAGCAGAAAAAAATCAAAGAAATATAGAACTGGAAAGTCCAAAAAAATCAGAAATTGAACTCATCAATAAAATCAGGCATTGTGCCAATACAAAAGGAGCCAGAATGGATCCATTGAGAAAAAAGAGGTTAGTATCAACATGCTTGGGAGAACCCTGAAATCTGAAAAAACGCTTTGAAAACAAACCTAAGGGAATAGCTGGAAAAGAAAAGGAGAAAAAAAAACCCAGAACAATCAAAACAATGGGAAAAAGGATTGCCCTGCTTAAAATGAATGTCTGATTGGAAGTGTGAACAAAAACACTTCTGTTAGGAAAGTGAATAAATACAACATTTCTGTTGTATTTTCTTCTCGCTCTGTGTGTGTGTGTGTGTGTGTGTGTGTGTCAGAGAGAGAGAGAGAATGAGGGAGGTAGCATTTTGAACATCATTCAGTTACAAACATGTTTACATATAAATCTGACTTTGGAGATTTGAGATACATGTAGTATTTATAACATTTCTAAAGCACAGACGTGGGATGCTGGCAATGTTGTATTAAACAAATTAACAAGATATAATGTTTAATACGGCTTTCATTTAATGAAGGAGCTTTAACACACTCCTACTCAATTGACTCTCCACATGTTTCACAAATACACATATGCCTCAACAATATTATATTTCAGAAGCAGAAGGCAGTACAAGCCTACAAAGATGCAAAGATAATGGAAAATATAAGACTTGGTTCACAAATTACAGGAAGTCAAAGCATAAGAATAAACTCTTATTAGTGGTAAATACATCTGTAGTGCAACTGATGGAGCTCTATAGAAAGGTGACACCTGAAATGCTTAAACACCATCTCCTGTTGGTTAATCAATACTGCTTTATTTGGCAGCAGTTAACAGAGACCATGTAATTCTGTCACTTAATATTTTTAAGTATACATACAAAAGATGGAAATTACATACATCATCAAGAAGAGTGACAATAAATATAGAAAAACAGCATTATGTGCTTCAGTTAATTATGAAATATTTAACTGAAACAGGAAACAACTACCTATTATCTAGCCACTGATTTATGCAAGTAGGAACACAAGATCTACTTTGAGTTTGCTTAGTTTATCTTTTTTTCAACCTTTTTATTTCTCTTTCTTCAACATCCCTTTCTGATTTTTTAAAAAAGTTATGAAAATCTATATACAATCTTATGCACATTTCTTCTAATATATGTATATTTGCCAATGCAATTTTGTAAGCAATTTCCCCTAATGCAGGGTGTGTGTGTTATATGAATATGTGCTTTTTTATGCATGCCTGTCCTTAATGCATACATTTTATGCATATATCTTCATTTGAAAGTTCACACATTCACACATTTGTAATCTTATTTCAGTTCATGCATTGGTTTCAGAAGGGCAAATCAAATATGTATTACTTTGCATTTTGAGAAATTACTGTGATTTAGGATTTCTTGGATATCCCGCATTTCTTCATGTTGACAACCTTTCAACCAAAAATGCCACTAAACTCTTAATTTATAACTATTTCTCTGTAAATATATTTGAAAGTAACCATTTGCCAAATAAATGTCATTAATCCATGACAGAACATGTGCTCTTTTTCAGTAAGTTTGTAGTTTAGTTTTAATCACACTTCGGTATAAACTGCAATTTATATTCTCTTGAGCTGTTCTTTGGCTGGAAGGATTCTTTTGTTTGTTTTTGGCTAGGGTAAATTGCTTGACTTCAAGCTTTGTATATCATAATTCTACCTACATAATCCTTAACAACCCTTTTACATACTACAATTCATCCAATACTGAATAATGTTCCAAAAGACCCAACTTCCAAAGCCTGTTAATCTGAAAACTAATACGTGCCATTTATTATCTAATTTTGTCTCTTAATTTCTGTACTGAACTTCTTGAAGACTTCATCCACTGACTTTCTTGAAGAGGAAGCATCGTTTTTACAATCTATCTCAAACATCTTCAATTATATTTTCATTATTACACAATATACAACAGAATTAAGTATCATGCCAACATTATAAGTGGTTTAAATGAAATTTTCCTTAAATCATAAAACTTTATTTAATGGGACAACACTTATTACAATATTAAAAGACTGCTTATTTTGGTCTCCCAATTGATGCCTAATTGGGGAGCAGCAATTAATTTTGAAAACCATTAGCTAACGCCTTGGATCTAGACAGAATGGACACACTGAAATCAATGGGACTAGTCGTGCACTTCTTCCTGCATATTTTAAAAATTCCTTTAAAATATTACTTTGTGTAATCACTAATTAGATCAAAATTTTACTGATACTGCATTAGGCAGCACACTTCATCTACAGTTGCAATTTTAGCTAGTCAATTTAAGGAAAAAAATGTTAAGTATTAATGTGCTTTTCAGCCATGCTAAAACTCCCAAGTCATTTTCTTTGCTAGCCTGAGATCATTATTAATTAGCCTGGCATACAAAACCCAAACAACAAGTCAAACCAGTAATTTTCATCTAACAGAGGGGGGGAAAAAAGCCCTGCTGCCTTCCCTCAATAAGCACTTTGTACTGGGGGAAAAAAATAAATACCTAAAAACCTAAATCATTCTGAAAGAGATTCTCTAATACAAGAAAATGCAAGGGCCATTAAATATCATCCAGGCTGAACATTTTTAGTAACAACAAAATCTGATAGTACTGTACTCAATGAACTTGCATAAAACAGTGAGCTTTTTTCAGAAGAGAAAATACTTCTATTTACATATTTTTTGTACAGTCAGTGATAATAGAATAGCAGACAAACACTATTGGGGGGGGGGGCTGTTATGGAATACATATACAGAATTGACCCATTATATATCAGGCTGGAGAATGGAATGCTAGCCATTCATTTCAGTACATGCTGTCTCATCATCAGATATCAGAAATGAAACACTGATGAAAGAGAAACTGAATGCCAATTTCCTCCTGTTGGAGCCAAGTTTTCAGTGGCTTTTTAAAATAATAGATAGTTGTTTGCTGAGAGTGGCTTGTTCCATACCATTAACTCAGAACAAAACATATTTTGAGTAGGACAGCAGTGTTTACCTCTAATAAATGATTAATACATGCCACCATTTATCACTTGGAAACAAAGACATTTAGTCACAATTTTAGACATAAATCAAAGTAGATGGTATTAATGTAAAAAAGGATTGCCTTAGTCCCTAAAATGGCAAAGAGAGAGGTCAGACTGGCCATAGCAACCAAGAACAGTCTTTAGACATTTGGGAAGACTTAAGCAATCACTAAAAGAGCTGAAATCTCTCTTTAATCTTCTGGGGTGTGAAAGTCAAAATTAAAGAGATTAGGTCATTCTGCACCCACCACAATGGGTCTGAAAGGAAAAAGTCTTTTCTTGCCTTTGCATCACATTGAATAAATAACATGCATTCCAGCTAAAATGAACACGTTTCAAAGTAAACCAAATCTCAACATTGTTTTCCCTGATGATGCATAATTACAGAATAATATAAAACACATCAAAATGAAACTTAGAAATGGGTGATTGAATATAATGCATGTCTCTCACAGACCACATATACACAGGTTTCAAACTGACTCCCTTGCTCTTTTTTATAAGCAATACAACTGCTGATAATAAACAGTGCTATACCACAGATAGTCTTTGTACTGAATCCATTAAGACTTTTGAATGGATCATTTGCTGTAGCTTTTTTTACTAAGAAATAATATTTATGGCTTATATTTCATTATCATAAATAACAAAGGGCAGATATTAGACTTCTTAAGCTGTTTTGTATTTCACTTGTATACTTCAATTTATTTTGCTGGCATTCTTAGCCATCTTTTTAAGCTACAACTTAAAATTTGTGGTTCACACAAGAAACTGCTTTTTCCTCAATCGTTATGGATTTCTCCGAATTACATATTTAGGAAATTGCTTACAATAATCCAGTGCACATCTATGAGGTGAGGAGAAATTCATTATTATTATTTATTTATGCATTTTTTTAAAAAAAACTGCCTAGTACTGTTATACTCTACAATGTGTTTTGTTAACACCTCCCTATGTTAATATTTTAAATAGTTGACACTTTTCTAATGCAGACTGCACATGCTTTTAATTAACATACAGTATTCAGAAAACAACGTATTAAAGTTTAAACTTTACACCTGCGTGAAAAATATCCCTGAGATCATGACGTCTTCTGCTGCAGCCGTTCGTGTAGACTATGCTATTTGAACTCCGCAGGGAAGTTCATTAATTTTTTAAAAGTCTTTGACCTCAGCACAGGGAAGGGTGTAAAAAAGTAAACACTGAGGTGGATAGCATACAGTTTTAATAGTGTATAGGACTAGCCGGGGCGGAGGGGCATTTTTCACCTGGAACTCTAATGAACCAGGAGCCCTCTACTCTAACGTCCGTACCCTCCCTTCGGCAAAAAAGAAGAGAAAAAAGAAAACAGTCCACTCTGGCTGTGAATGTTAAAGGCCATTCGAATTCGAAGAGTTCTCATCTCAGAAAAAGCGGGGGGAAGTCTGTTTCTGCATAGGCAATGTATCATGCCTACGATCTGGGCTGAAAATAAGGTAAGAATAGGAGAAAAGCCTGCTCTTCAAGCCCCTGAAAAGTCTTGAGGAAATAAATACTCTTCCTTACCCCCAACTTGAAAGCCGAACGAATCTCCTCCGTTGATGTCATCTCCTGGGCCCCCCTCTTCACACCATGGCGACGGGTGCTGCACTGGGCTCGGTTATAGCGGTGACACTTAAGCTGCCTGCTCAGACCAGGCGGGGGCGGGGGGGGGAGGGCGTGAGCGCGCGCGCGCCCGTCTGCCAGAGGACTGGAGAGAAGCGGCATGTGCTTCTGCGGCGTGTGTGTCTGGCTGAAGTAGTAACCGGAAAGGCAGCCCGCGGACTTCTAGACCGAGAACCTCACGCTCAGGCCGAGTCAAGGCTGGATAGAAATGATTAAAGCTCAGTCGGCCCCTCCTCATGGCAAGAGCTGGGATTCCTCCTCGCCTTCTTCGCCTCCCCTCCACGGGAAAGTGGGGCTCTCATTATGCATTCTCCGGAGAAGCCTCAGCGGAGGCAAAGCTTTTCCCAGATTGCTTGGTCCCTGCCCAGCGGTCCATGCAGAATACAGGTACCTATTGTTCCCCGGACTGAGCTGCATCCAGCCGCCCAGGCTCTGGCAGATCTCAGCAACCACTGAGCCTGAATTTATTTTTTAACCCTCGATAACCTCCTGCAGCTCTCTAGGGGGTCAGTGCAACGTTTGGTACATGGCTAGGTGGTTTTTTCTTCACAACAAACCAAGAAATCGTATTTGGCTGTGTGCGGACACGCACGTGTACTCTTAAAAAGCACGCTCAGTTGCATAATGAAAAATACTTCAGTGTATTTGGGGAAAATAGGCAATATTTTGAGTTTATACTTCCCATGAAAAAAAATTATTTTGTTGCAAGAGTTAAGAAAATGTTCTAACGGTTAGCAAATCTAAATGATTCTACTTGTAGCCTAGTGTATGTTGGCTGACCTTAAGCATGCAAACTATTTCCTATTTCTAAGTCCAACCTTGTTATATTCCAAATGATACATGTATGCACGTGGGATTTTTCACCAATAATAACTGTCTAAATTTCAGTATTCATTATGAGCTGTATTCATTGTATTTCTAAACGGATATCTTCATCTAGAAATAATATTTATTCCCTGAAAGATCTAACTCACTGTGATTTATTTATAAATGTTGCCCCTAAACTTTGGATTTTATAAACTAAAAGCAATTCGTCTTCCAAATAAAAGTAAAAGAATCAGTAACAAGGACAAAATGAGAGGAAACCAAAATGAAGGCTTACACTTCTTTAGACTTAAAGTGGTAGCACCACATGCTTGAAATCTGCAGAGAAAGTTTCAGATGAGACTGGCATTTCATTGTATATATTCACTTTTGTTTTAACAATATTTGCGCTCAGACACTAGGGAGTGAATCCTACTGATGACGGTATTCTTAACATTGTTTTGTATGAGGAGAATACTTTGCAGCATGAGTTCTGGGATTTCTAGGATATCTTGCATATCCTTTAAAAAGCAATGGAATAAGTATGATTTGGAGAATAGGACTTGAGCAGTGCTTTACTCTTACATGAAAAGGATCACAATGGATTGTTGTTATTAAAGGGAAGCCATATGTGGTCTTTCCTAAGGGAACTGCTGTATACATGGGATGTCATATAAAATATCTTCAGTTTTAAAAGATAAAATGTTCCACAACAAGGATGAACAATGTAATTTAAAACAAATCACCAGGTAGATATAAAAGAAAGGAACAATAGATTTAGTGCTGAAGCCTATAAACTTCCTATGAATATGAAATTATTTTTGTGATGACGTTGAAAAGTACTCTAAAATAAGCATACTCAAACTTTTCATAGTTGAAAAAAATCAGTTACATGTGTATTCTGTTTCTTCAAATGGCTGAAACTGGCAAGGTCAGCCTCTTAAAAGAAATTTGTTACTAGATAATTTCTCAAATCTGAGAGTCAGTGTTTTTCCAATGTATCCATTTGCCAAATGTGTTTTAGTAGTGTATGCAATATTGCCACTATATACAAATACTGTTTTGCAAACAATTTATGTAAATCTGCCCTGACAAATTGATGGAGATCAATTAACCAATTGTCAAAGTGATAAAATAGCACTGAGAAACTTGAATAAAGGTATAGCTTTATAGCACCATGATGGCTCAAGTCTATCCATTCCAAGTAGCATGCAGTGACATTTCTTAGTATTCCTGAGAGATGCCCATCCAGGCTACTAGAGGAGAGTAGGATATTTCTCAGCTTTCTTGGCTAGATGAATTATGACTATGTAGTCTACTTGTTCTTCTACAGCTCAAACCTATTTCATCTTCTCCTAAAGCGTGTCATTCAGCGCATCCAGTGATATGTACAGAATCAACTACTTTATGTGCATATTTATTTATTTATTTACAACATTTATTTGCTATACCATAAATCAGAAGGAAATCCTAGATTAGTCATGTAAACACATTCTGAACACAAGTAGCAATATGATCTGTAAATAGAACTGAAAACATTTTTATCATAAGAAAAACAAGCATGATTATTCTCATGTTGATGGATACTTATATCCCGCTATACATATTTTAAGACTGGACAAGACTTAGTGCTTCAGCCGTGATACCATGATGCTCAAATTCTTAACCTGACAGTTTAAATGCCATTTACTTAAGTGGATTATACGAAGATTAGAATCACTGCACAAGGGGCTGGAAGCAATGCAAAGCAAAGCAATGTAGCTGCTTCACTTTCCTAATTGTGGGTGGGTGGAATTGCTTCTCAAAGAGCTTCAGAGGGATTATACCACCCTAATATATTATTTGAGAATCATATGAAACCACTCTTTAAATCATATGAAAACACTTTGAAAAAAACTAGATTTGCTTTCTGGAAAATTTAACCCAATGCCCCATTTTTGAAAAAGTAGAATAAGTTTACAACAATAGTTAGTGTACTGCTCTGCATTCTGGAAAAATGGGATTAAAAATTTGAAAAAACCCAAGACTATTTAATTTAACTCCAGACATGTTAGAATACCCTATCCCTAAAGTGTTCCTGATGGATTCTTTATCTTCTTGACAATCCCTTCTGGCTTCTCATGATGGCCTAATCAAGACGTACAATTCCTAGACTCTGAGCTGCTGCATCACTGCAATATCATAAAAGAATGATATTACTCAGAAGGGCAGGGATATTTCGCCAGTACTGTCCTATCTAACCGCCCAGAGTCGCTCTGCAGTGAGATGGCGGTGACAAATTTGAAATATAAATAAAATAAATAAATAAATCTAGTTGTATAACATTTCTCTTTAAAAAGCCATGCATTTTTCTTTATGCTCTCCATATGTCATTCAACAAAAATTATGATATAATTATATTTTTATTCTGAAATGCTTTAATTATGTCTCAAGTCTGAATGTTTTTACAGAAGCAATATTTTCAATTTAAGTTAAAAGAGGGAGGAACAAACATAAGTTGCCATAGCAAGAGTTCTTACAATACTCTAGGATTTATTCTGGGTTTTTTTTTCTCCTGATTTACTTGAAATGATTTGGATTACATAAAAAGTAAGCTGGAATGGAAGAAACATGGTTTCTTTATTGCATAATAATCTGATACATGCAGATGATATCTAAGGATGCAGTTATAATATTCCCTTCAGCTAGTTCATAACTGTTATCTATGATTATCTGTTTATACTCCAGGCCAGTTTTAATGTGTTAACAAGAAATAATTTAGATCTGGGGGGGGGTGTATCTCTTTCTCTCTGTATATATATGTGTATGTATGCACATGTATGTATGTGTGTATGTATGTATGTGTGTGTACCTAGAAAATACTCAGATTTACATCAGCTTCATTTAATTTTGCTATATAAATCTTGGAGCATATTTTCCAGGATTAACCACACATTTCAAATCTGTGTTTTTAAAATAGTCAACTTCCTCCTATAGGATTTAAATAAATGTAAAATGATATCTTCTAGGACAGATAGCTGCAGAATGAAGGAAGTGAAGAATTGCTAGAGAAGAAATATGATAATTCAGTTAGTTCTTAGATACAAAGTATTTTAAATACCAACTTGTATATTCAATGCTGTGCTGTTGGTACAATTCTGAAATCAGAATGTATTTCATTAGGATCTAAGCAAGCTTGCTGTTCATTGGTTTGCAGTCTATGTCATTTAGATGCAGACAAAACCACTGACCAAAGTATTCATAGTAAAAAACATTATGAAAAAAAAGATCAAAGTTCAGTTATAAAGTTTAGTTGTAACAATAGATGGCAATTGCTAGTCTGGAATTCCACAACAACTGCTGAATATTATAATCCTATGGATGCCAGTTGAGTAGCTCCAATGTTACAGATTCTGGAAAAAGATAGCAAAAGCCAATTTCCGCAGAGTCTGATGCTCTATAATTTATTACACTGATGAGCCCCAAATTACTGCAAGAAATTGCCTTTTAAGAATTGTTTTCGTAGAAAGAGTTAGGCAGTAGGCAGTGGCACAAATTACAGTTGTAATAGCAGTAATAGTTGTCTGTTGAACATTATTTATTAGGATGATTTGCACAATAATTTGGAACAAAAAACACAGCTTTTGTTTATCAAGTATTCCTGTAATATTGACATTCTTAGAGCATTATAAGGATATGTTGAAAAAGACTTCCAGTTGGCAGCTCATTAGCTTCAGTGAGAACTCTGCCCATTACTTTGAAAACTCATTAGAGATCTCACAGGTGAGGTACAGTTTTCAGCCACCCACCTTGCTCTAGACACAAATGTACATCTCAAAGGTACAAATATATATTGCTGAAGAGAGAGAGATTGTTTTGTGTGACATTGTTTTGTCTGTATGTTTGATACTGTGCATATTTGTTTCTTTTCCCCTTTTAGCCAGAAGCAAAAGCTGAAACTCTTTATCAGAATGATAACAATATAAAAGGAAACATGGCATGCTTAAACAAAAGAGATTATTTCACAAAATATTCATGGTTTATACCCTTTGATTTCTCCAAAGCTATCAAGTTGTCTGATAGTTAGTTCGCACTTACCTTGTAAGCTTGGTTCTGTTGAAGTTACTGATTGGAAGGGCCATGTGTAAAATGTCTTGAGTGTAGAGAAATTCAGATGTTCAAGATCTGCCCTTGAACCATCAGCCTGCCCTGTATAGTTAATGCTGTCATCATCTTCTAATAC